GTGTCACTCTCCAGCTTCAGATGCTGGAGAGAAGCTGATGAAGCAGATCTGTGCTTCATCAGCTTCTTCAGGGGGGTCCTAGGTGACATTAGGGGTCTTGGAGACCCCTGATGTCTCCATAAAGAGGACCTGTCACATATTTTGCTATCACATAGGGGGTTTTCTAACCCCCCTATGTGATAGCAATAAAGTTTCCCCCCAAAAATGTAAAGTTACAAATAAAAAAGAATTACATTTTTTTTAAAGTCCCCCCACATACATACACGCATGCAAACAGGCGTCGGGTGCGCATACGTGTGAAAACGACGATTTCGCCCATTGCGCCGCACATGTTACATATCGCCGCGAACGTCGGAATGAGAGCAATAATTGTAGGGCCATCAATCACTGATAACACTAAACTGATGAGCGGTAAAAGCTTTTAAAGCGTCACCTATGGTCAATTTTGGGCATGGTAATTTTTTACAATTTTGCAGGTGCGCGCAATTTTAAAGCTTGACATGTTTGGTGTCTATTTACCCGACGTGACCGCGCTTTTTATATTTTACCAAAAATATGGGTGATAAATGGGTGTGGTTACTGGGGGGTGTGGCCACTAAAGGGTGTGGCCAGGGAGGGGGGTGGTCACTGAGGGGCGCTGTAAAGCTTTCTCGCACAGGGCGCCTAAAGGCCTAAGGCCGGCCCTGCCTTCTCCCTCGCACTCCCTCGGGATATAAGGAGAAATATCTGCTTGTTTGCTATGGGCAGCACAGACAGTCTTCATTTCAGCGTGGTGTTGGCAGTCCCTGGCTCTCACCGGGAGGGGTCTGGTGGTCGGCACGGTGACACCCGATCAGAACGTCACCCCACCGAGCCCTCAGCCATCCCAGAAGATGGAGAAGACTCGAGCAATGTGGCCCCAATCATCGGCCTCACCATGGAAGGAACGAGGACTCTGATTGGCTGCCACACCCACTCCCCCTGGCGTGGCCATCGTAGGACTTGTAGTGCATGGACTGAGGGCGGCACGTGTGACTTATTATGGATGGAGACGGTGTAGGAGCGGATTCTTGGCATGGCCGCGGTGTACGGCTCCTCCTCCTCCGCCGGTGACAGCTGTGTACCCCGCGCTCACCCTCTCCCCTGTTCCCGTGTAACTCAATTGCCCCGGCCGTCTCCGAGGCGTCTGCGTACGCTGCGCTGACTCAGCAGACAGATGGCCGATCTGCAGAGTATTGCCATGTCCCAGCAGCAGAGCATCGCCCCCGGAGTGGCCTTTGCCGTGTTGTGTGTGTGCCATGTCATGTGCCGTGTTCTGTACCGTGTTGTGTGTGTGCCGTGTTCTGTGCGGCAGAAGAAACACATTATCCTGTGCCGTGTTGTGTGTGTGCCATGTTCTGTGCCGTGTTGTGTGTGTGCCATGTTCTGTGCCGTGTTCTGTGTTGTGTGTGTGTGTGTGTGTGTGTGTGTGTGCGCCGTGTTCTGTGCCGTGTTGTGTGTGGCAGAAGAAACACATTATCCTGTGCCGTGTTGTGTGTGTGCCATGTTCTGTGCCGTGTTGTGTGTGTGCCATGTTCTGTGCCGTGTTCTGTGTTGTGTGTGTGTGTGTGTGTGCGCCGTGTCCTGTGACGTGTTGGGTGCTGTGTTCTGTGCCGTGTTGTGTGCGGCAGAAGAAACACATTATTCTGTGCCTTGTCCTGTGCCGTGTTGTGTGCGGCAGAAGAAACACATTTGTCTGGAAGGTGTTGGAATCATTTATTGCTCAGCGGAAGCGTCTCCCCCCTCACCCCCCCCCCGGCTCATACCACGGCCCCTCGTCCGGCCATCTCCACCATCCCCATTTCCTCACCTCGGTGTCCTCGGCCTCCCCCTTCCAGCCACCCAGTCCTGTCCTTTCCCATTGCCCACGCCACCACCCGCCCTATTGCCTTTGCCACCTCCCCTCTCGCCCCGGGACACGCCAGGCAATAGAGGGCGGGGTCAGCGACACAGTTCAGCGTGGCCATGGCCAGGGCGGCGTGGTAAGCCGGGAAAAGCCTCTCCTCCAGTGCGCAGCTTTTGCCTGCGGCTCCGGCATCTCCACCGACGAGGAAGACCACGCTGCGCAGGAGCAGCAACGCGTAGTAGGGCCCGTAGCACAGCAGGGCCACGCACGGAAGGCCCAGCGCCAGCCTGCGCACTCTCCTCTTCTCCCTTCGCTCGCACGACGCGCTGTCCTTCAGCGCCCGCAGTAATCCGGCATAGCAGACCAGCATTATGCCCCAGGGCAATAAGAATCCAGCTAATACCCTCCCCACGTTGGCCAGGGCATCTGCGGTCCCGGAGAGGGGGTAACTCTCGTAGCAGAAGGTGTGGTTGTAGCGGTCCCGGGTGATGGCGTCGCTGAACAACGGTGGAGTATTGGCGGCCAGTTCCACCACCCAGACCAGTGCAGAGACGGCGGCGGCCGAACGGATGGTCCTGGCACCGGGAAAGCGCAGCGGGTGCGCCACGGCCAGATATCGGTCAGCGGAGACGCAGGACAGGAAGGCGGCGCCCACGTACAGATTGGTGTAGAAGACGAATCCGAAAAGTCGGCAGGCCCCCGGCCCGTAGCCCCACACGTCCCGCCGCACGTAGTAGTCTGTCCACGGGGGAAGGGCGCAGATGAGGAGGAGGTCGGAGAGGCTGAGGTTCAGCAGGTACACGCCCAGCTCTTTACCTTTCCGGACCTGGAGCCACGCCGCCCACAGCGCCAGCAGATTTGCCGGGAGACCGACCACGAAGACCACGGCGTAGAGCGACGGAGGGAGGACGCCGTCCAAATCCGAGTCCACGTTGCAGGCATCCGGCGTGGTGTTAGGCATGGTGGACGCAAGGGAAGATGCCAGGTGACAACGCGGTGTGTACACTCCCTCGTCCGCGGTACGCCGCTCCTCTCCTTCCTGCCCCTGGTGGGGGGCTTTGTACCATATGGGGGTTCATGTCATGACTCCTCCTCTGGGCGGCACCATCGCTGGGTCTGTGGAGAAGGATTAACATCAGTGACACCGCGAACTCCAGTGAGCTCCGGCCGCCATATTGAAGAAGGATGAAATATATAAATGTGGGCGTGGCCCCCGATACACAACGATTGGTTGCAGCACCATTCAGATCTGAGGCCAATCGCATTCCCTTCATCCCGGCACAGAACAAAACCTGTACACAGAAGCGAGGTCACATGATCACTCTCTCCTGATCCTCCTCCTCATCTCCTGAGCCTCCTCCTCATCTCCTGAGCCTCCTCTCCATCTCCTGATCCTCCTCTCCTGATCCTCCTCATCTCCTGATCCTCCTCTCCTGATCCTCCTCTCCATCTCCTGATCCTCCATCTCCTATCCTCCTCCTCATCTCCTGATCCTCCATCTCCTGATCATCATCTCCTGATCCTCCTCCTCTCCATCTCCTGATCCTCCTCCCCATCTCCTGATCATCCTCCCCATCTCCTGCTCCTCCTCCCCATCTCCTGATCCTCCTCTCCATCTCCTGATCCTCCTCTCCATCTCCTGATCATCATCTCCTGATCCTCCTCCCCATCTCCTGATCATCCTCCCCATCTCCTGATCCTCCTCTCCTGATCCTCCTCATCTCCTGATCCTTCTCTCCATCTCCTGATCCTCCATCTCCTGATCCTCCTCTCCATCTCCTGATCCTCCTCTCCATCTCCTGATCCTCCATCTCCTGATCCTCCTCCCCATCTCCTGATCATCCTCCCCATCTCCTGATCATCATCTCCTGATCCTCCTCTCCATCTCCTGATCCTCCTCCCCATCTCCTGATCATCATCTCCTGATCCTCCTCTCCATCTCCTGATCATCCTCCCCATCTCCTGATCCTCCTCTCCTGATCCTCCTCATCTCCTGATCCTTCTCTCCATCTCCTGATCCTCCATCTCCTGATCCTCCTCTCCATCTCCTGATCCTCCTCTCCATCTCCTGATCCTCCATCTCCTGATCCTCCTCCCCATCTCCTGATCATCCTCCCCATCTCCTGATCATCATCTCCTGATCCTCCTCTCCATCTCCTGATCCTCCTCCCCATCTCCTGATCATCATCTCCTGATCCTCCTCTCCATCTCCTGATCATCCTCCCCATCTCCTGATCCTCCTCTCCATCTCCAGATCCTCCTCCCCATCTCCTGATCATCATCTCCTGATCATCCTCCCCATCTCCTGATCCTCCTCCCCATCCCCTGATCCTCTTCTCCATCTCCTGATCCTCCTCTCCATCTCCTGAGCCTCCTCTCCATCTCCTGATCCTCCTCTCCATCTCCTGAGCCTCCTCCTCATCTCCTGAGCCTCCTCATCTGATCCTCCTCCTCATCTCCTGATCCTCATCCTCCTCTCCCTTGTTTCCTCCTGTGTGGTGGAAGACCTCGGAATGTTGTTCTCGTCTCTCGGTGCCGCCGCCAGTCCCGGACGCACTGTGTGGAATCCTCCGGTCACCGCAGAGGGGTCATAGACTACAAGTCCTGGAATTCGGAGGTTCAGAGGAGCCTCTGATGTAGAAATGTTCCACTGAGCCCCATGTGGCACTGACATGGTATGGAGCGTACTCCATGCAGCTTCCCCGCAGGGTGTGTTGGGCTCCAGAAATATTTCCATCTCAGAAACCAAAGAATAATAAACACATTCCATCAAATCCCCGACACTGAGGAGAAGACACAGAGTCCTCCATCACACGGGAGGGGGAGGACTCCGCATTGTACGGGGAGAAGAGGAGACTCCGCATTG